CAAAACCTAGCTTTTTGAAGACATACTGTCATCCAAAGGAATCTCAGGATGACTACCTCCCTCAAACTAAATGTTTGAGCAGTGTCCCACAGATGGCAAATGTCCCACAGATATCCCACAGCTGTCAAATAATACTGTTTCCCTCAAACATTTAGAAATACCCCACAAGGTGCCCTGGCTGGCATAGCTCAGTGGATTCAGCGCGGGCTGCGAACCAAAGTGTCGCAGGTTCGATTCCCAGTCAGGGCACATGCCTGGGTTGCAGGCCATGATCCCCAGCAACCACACATTGATGTCTCTCTCTCTCTCTCTCTCTCTCTCTCTCTCTCTCCCTCCCTTCCCTCTCTAAAAATAAATAAATAAAATCTTAAAAAAAAAAATACCCCACAAGGCCCATGTGAGTTCACTATGGTGCTCCAAGGTAACTTGGGGCACAGTCCGGGAATCTTGGGTTTAAAAATTATTGATCCAGGCTACGTGCTTACTTTGTAAAATCAGAAATGAGGTTTAAGGTCACAAAGCTTATAGAAAAATAAATACATTAAGAATTTTCATAAATTAATTTTAACCTTCCATCAATAAAAGTTTTGAAACAGAATCTAATCATGTGATATTCTGTTGATGAAATCTGTAGATCTCTGAAAAACAACTATCTTCGAAAATACATTTATATGACCATATAATAAAAGAAAATTTCTGCTTCAGTATTTTCTTTTTTAGTTTTCAGAAATTGTAAAAATGGGACATATGACAAATAACACTAAAGTGTCTAAAGTATCAAAAGGGAAGTCATCCATTCTCCCTGGGATAACACAGCTAATAGTTTAATGTCTATCCTTACAGACTCCTCACGCACAGAGAAATCAAAAGAAAATCAAACTACATTTCTTTGCCTGTGTTTTTACAAAACTGAATCATATTCCACAATGCAGTGCAACTTATTTTTTTCCCCTCAACATTATGTAATAAACATTCTTCCATGTCAGTACATAATAGTAAATGCAAACACTTATGTGGTACCTACTATGCTTATTTAGGGTTTAAATATTAACTTGCTTAATTCTCACAACAGACTTGTAAGAGAGAACAATAATTATATCCCCTTTATAGATGAGTTTAAGTACCTTGCTAACAGTCACAGCTAATAAATGATGTAGTTAGTATTTGAACCTGGAAAGTCTGCTACATGGTGCTTCTGAACACAAGTTCAAGGATACACTCAGCTGCTTCTCAGAAGTAAATACAAATATCCTCAAACTGTTAACAAGTGTGTAGTACCTCATATCGTAAATATACTATAATACTAACTATTCCCTTACCAATGGACATTTAGGACATTTTCTCACTATTGCTAAATGTCAATGACATTTATCTGTAATAATGCTAAAAATGAACATCCTTACCGATTTGTTCCTATGCTCTTGTATCGAAATTTCTGTAAGATAAACTCCTAAAAATGAAATGACTCTACCAAAAAAGAGCGCACTTTTAATTTTAACAGGTAATGCCCAATGTCCTTCCAGAGCATTGTTCCAGTTGCACCAATCTGTAGTCCCAATTACAGAGAGGGCTGAGATTCATTTCTAAGTTAACGAGTATTTTTGATTACTGAAAAGAGAAGCCTGTTTTGAGTTTTTAATTAACACTGATGTAGAATAGATTGCCTGGTTGTTCACAATTATCTTCTCATTGGATAATTATCTGACACATTAAACAAATGTAGACTTAGCAGCTATATAGTGAATTCTTCATCCTGTTATAAAATCAACTATGGGTAAGAGATTTTCATCACATGATGCTTGTTTACTTAGATATAAAACGTGAGAAGTGGACTAGCTGGACTTTAAGATTTAAAACTCCCAATCCTGTAATTAAGAAGTGACTTAAAGTTATTACAAGCCTATAATTATAGTACTAGTATAATAGGTAGGGTCTTAAACCATCTATTTTCTATAAATTACACAAACTATTGCCAGAACAGCTAGGCAAATCATTAAAATAGTCAATAAAGTTTTCAGGATCCACCTGTGCCTTATTCGCAGTAGCTTTTAATCCCAGGTGGCTTTTGTCATTCCCCTTCTTCCTGGAGAACTTGAATATACCTTTGGAGTATATTCCTAAAAAGAACTAGGATCCATGAACTAGTATGGCTTTGGTTTTGGTTTTTTAAATATTATGTCAAGACCATTCTTCAGTCAATTTATTCAACCAACATTTACTATTTTACTATGTGCCAGGCGCTGGACGCCAAATAGTTAACAGAGGATCTCTGTAATCACAGAACTTACAGACTAGATGAGAAAGTCCAATAATAACCCAAGTAACAACTAGTAAATGTAAAGCTACACTTGTGATAACAAGCAAAAAATATTAATGTAGAAAACACTATGCAACCACTTGATTATCCAGTTTTGGGGGGACTATTTGTGACATTAGAAATTGTTTGATATGGGGTAAAAAGTCAATAAAGGTAATTAGGAGTATTTTGGGAGCACCCTTCTAGTTCTAGATACGATGATGCCTGAATCATGAATTGCTTAATAAAGCCATTTAGGTCTTAAGGCATATATATATATATATATATATATATATATATATATATATATATATGGCTCTTGAGTGTGTGTATATGGCTCTCGTGTGTGTGGGTGTGTGTGGGTGTGTGTGTGTGTGTGTGTATGGCTCACAACTTGTTCCACCCTACAAAAAGAACAATCACAAGTATACATGGCCAGTTAACTTTTTAACTCTACAATAAAACTCTACAATAAAAATCGCCAATTGTTACTAGTTTTCAGTTATGCTACTGACCATGTAACTTGAATGTTTCCTTTACGTAATTAAGAGTATAAATGATTTGAAGCACCACAGATGACAAAACTATGAGTATCCAAACAAAATGAGAGACAACAAATTAACTGCAATTTCTTAGGAACACTGTTCAAGCAAAAAGTACATATAGAAGTAAAGCAATATATTATCATACTTCATGACTTGTAACAATTAACGAAATGCTATAAAAATACTAATGTTTTTAAAGAACTGACAATTATCAGCATAAGGGGCAAGTGACATGTCAAAAGGAACAAAAACATTTATATTTAGATTTTAAAAAGCTAAAGGCCAAAAATATCTATATTAATATTCAATTTAAATAATACTAATTCTAGAATGTTACTTACTGTGATCATTTTGCAACATATACATGTATTGATAATCATGTTGTATACCTGAAACTAACATGTTATCAATTATTTCTAGATCTACTGCAGAGATAAGGGCAGCATTCACTCCGCATAAAGGAACCTCTGTGTGTGTCAATCTCCACAGCTGCAAAATAGGGACAATATTTACCAAACCCACTTCACAAAATTGCTATGAAGACTAAATAATGTATGTGGAAGCAGACCAAAAAATAATGTCAGTTATTTCAGACAGCAGCTTCTTTTTCGTTCCCACTATAGCTTAAAGCAATTTAGTAAAAATAAAATTGGATAGGGACTTAATCTCCTGCACTCTGTCCATGATAAGGCAGACATGTTATAAAATGGGCAGAAGACTGGCAATCAGAAACATTAGAAAAAAATTCAAAACTTCCTACTTCACAGATTGATTACCCCACAGGAGGTTGGCTGTCCAAGTATTAATACTCTTACATAACACTACATAGCAATGTATCCCAGAGAATCAGAGAAATTTCCTCACATATGTATGGAATTTACGTATAACTCATTATTACAAAATCCTGCTACTGCCTAGGAAAACATGAGATACACATGTACTTATCCACACATCCAATGTACTCTAACTTGATGTTTATTTCCTGATTAAAGTATCTTAAATTCGACGCAATGAGGTCCAGTGGCTGGCTGACTTGATTATTGGAGTTTGTCAATTTAGCACAAGCGAGCAATTACACGCCCACTCCTGAGTCTGAGGCAACTTCTGCCACTGGTCCAACCACCAATCCTCCCCAGGCACGATCTCCTGTTATTAGCAGCACACTGCCTTCCTTAAAAACGAAATTTTACACGGAGACATTTTTCTAAATGGAGGGAGCAGCTTTCAGGGTTTTATCACTGCTTGTACAAACCTTTTTCAGGTCGTTACTAAATCTGCCTAAGTCAGCCTTTCCTTTAAAACCCTGAAAATCGAGAGGGCAGGAGGAGGCACGTTAACATGGCAACATAACCCTAACGACTTCTCCAAATTCAAAACAAGGATCGCCATCAAAACAAAACGACCCGGCGGCGTACACGGACCCTGCCCACTATTCCTGACAACCGGTCTCCTCCCACACGGAGGACTGGCTACTACACTTAAAGCCACAGGAAAACCTGTACCTGTGTGCGACTTCCTACCTGAAAACGAAAAACCCATCCACATTCCAACCCATACGTGTAACATCAGCCGAGTGTTATTTAGCACGCTGGGCTACGTTTTCAGAGAGGGCAGAGGAAAATGACAACTTTAAAATTTCCCCTTCCATCATGTGTTAATAAATCGGAAGACCACATTCAGCAGCTGCTAGACTGGAGCAGAAAATCAAAGTTTTTCCTATACTTGAGCATGTTTATCCCCATCAAAAAGGAACAGAAACTAGTCATCCCTGCCAGTTCCCCGGAATTTCCCAAAATATGCCTGATCTCTACATGAGTAAGAGACACTTCAGAAACCAGAGGTGACAGGTATCGTACACCTTTCGCAGAGGAGGGAGGGGCGGGGAGGTGGGGGACCGGCACTGGCAGGTAAAGAAGGAAAGCCCGTCTCCGGCAGGCACCGGTGGGGCTGGAAACCCAGGTCTCAGGAATAAGAGACGGCCCTCCCGGCAAAGCCTCAGGACCCAGGCTGGCTCGCCAAGGGGGACGCCAGGTTGAGCCAGGGCCCCCGCGCCCCGCCCCGCCTCTCTCGCCGCCAACTCGGGGACCCGGGACCGCGGACAGAGGCAGCGGAGGCTACGCGGGCTTCCGTGGTCCCAGCCAGGTCCTGCCGAAGCTCACCTGAGAGTGTCGCCTCCGCCCTCGGCTCCCACGGTGCATCCCGCGGGGCCTGGCGGAGGGTACAGTGACGCCGCCCCGACCGGCCCCAGGGCTGCCCGGCCTGGCCTCCCTGCGCCGGGGACACACCGGGTGCCCGCCTCGCACCGGCTCCCGGGAGCCGCGGGTCTGCAGAGACGGAAGGAGAGGCGGAAAGGCTGCCTCCCCTCCCCCACAGCAAGCCGGCCCCTGAGCTGCGGCTCTCTGCAGTTCCCTCTGGCGCAGGTCTGGCCCCGCTCCCCCACCCGGGAGTCACTTCGGCAGTGGCGGCCCAGTCGCCATTACAGCCCAACAACTGACACGGAGGAGGAGCGGCGCCGGCAGCGGCGGCGGTGGCGGCGGCGACGGCGCGAGGCAGGGCGGGAGCAGTAGGGGCCCAGGCAAACCTCGCGAGAACTGTCCCGAGACGGTTCCACAGGAATGCAACCTTCGGTTAGGGCCATGTTAATTGTGGCCGAAAGGTATGGGCGACCGAAAGCGAGGAGAGGAACCTCGAGGACGCCATGATTGGTGTGGCGAAGTTGGAGCCTTGCAGGACTCGGGAGGAGCCAAAGTAGATCCGCAGCGGAGACCTTCCCCTCTCTCTTTCCTCTGACTCTAGTTGGGCCTTCTGGCTGCGCATTTCATCCTCGGCCTCAGAAAACAAGCTGGGGGCGGGGGTTGTGGACCAGGATGACCTGGAAGTCTAGAAATTGCAGCTTCTCAGAGTTTGCTATGTTTCACCAATTGTCCAAATAAATCTCCTTTACCCCAGTGAGTTTCAGAGAGATCGCAGCTCTGCGGCTGCTGCAGTCATCCACTGCTGTCATTGGCCGTTTTATTCGCGAGGGTTACTGTTCTGTTCTGCATTCACTCTAATGGCTTAAGACTCCAGAACAAGTAGAAGGGAGATTCCTCCCGTTGGGTGTTGTCTTTGATATAACTCCGCTTTGGAAAACTCCCTGTGATCAATATATCTTCCAATATCATTATCCTCTGTCCCCAGTCTTTGCGTGGTGAATTCTATCATCCGTCAAGATTTAGCTTAAATGACAGCTCTGGTGCAAATCGTGGCACCTTCTGATACGTGTTCACCTCACACAAGCTCCCCACCCATCACTTTTCTCCACCTTCTGAAATCCAGTAGCTATTGTCCCCAGGGACTGTTTCTCATTTTTAAGTATTTTGAGGATTTTTAAATGTCTTTTATTTCTCTGTACTGCAACAGGGCCTAGCACAGTAACTAGGACTCTGTAGATGCTCAATCAATGTTGAGTAGATCGTATCGATAAAAGCTGGAGCCGGTAGCTGCCCCCTCTTTGGAGAGCCGATGGCTATGCCTGAATAGGAGCTAAATGGACGTACAAAAATGCTGCACTTTTGTAAAATATGTACTGTGAACAGGAAACTTGGGTATCCCGATGGTGCAAATGGCAGTAAGAAAAACAACCTAAGAAAAGCTCAGAGGAATTGCCTGGGAGAGGGCCTATTGCTGGTCAGAAATAACAGAACGTGGAATGTACCTTAAAGTTTCAGCCACAGTCACAGGTAAAACACACCAACCAATAAAGCAAACAGTCAAACAGTGTTTGTCTACGTTATTGAAAAAGAGGAACTTAGTATTCAAACTCAACAGTAGCTCAGAATCTCATTCCTCTTAAATGTGAATAGTTTCCTGTCCCTTGCCAAAAAACAAAAACAAAAACAAACAAACAAAAAAAACCCATAGCTTGGAAGAGAAGAAATTCTAATAAAACAAAGTCTAGTAAAATTAAGACAGGGCCCTTTACTCAACTTACCTACAACCTCTTGTTGAGTAAATACTAAAACAGGTTGGTTCTGACGTATTGCTAGATAAAAGATTCCTGTCTGAGAAAGTCAAGATAAGACTCTTAGGAAAGAGATTAGAGATTTTTCTTGTACATTGCAGCTACATGCATTTAGCAAGAAACAAGCTCAAATAAGCACACACTTATTTTTGGATGGTCTGGAAATTTATCTTCTAACTTTAAAAAAATTTTTAGAGTGCCTACTCCAAATAATCTATAAATACAATTAACTTTGATTTTGTATGAAGCAGGTGCTGAGAATGAAATGCTTGTGATCAAATATCTCAGGGTTTATGAGGTCTTGACACTTTCATGTTAGGGCAGAGCATTGTCAATCCAGCCCACATCTGATTCCAGACCCTCTACTCACAACGATTTGCCCTCTGAGTCTAGAACAAGGAATTCACCCTGGATAGACAGAGTGTTAGCAGAGACTCTGGCTCTAGAGTATATATCCTTTTCTGATATTCAGGACATGACTTGAAGACTTGATGGAACTGTAGGCCAAACAGTTAAATCAGGGATAGGACTTACACTTTCTTCCCACTCTGAACTATTGGTTCATAGTGGTTGATAAAGGTAGCTAGGATTTAGGAAGCATATTCTATAAAGTATAAAGTTGACATAAAAGGAACAAACATGCCCTCACAAAGAGTATGTATGCCCTTCTACAAGATCACAAATAAAACACAAATGTATTTAACAGTGCCATGCATTTAGCTCTAACAGTTAATAAAAACTCATTAAATGGATGCACGCATGCATGGATGGATGGATGGATGGATGGATTAATTCCATCAATGAAATAGGCCAGGAGAACTAGCTGGAACTCTAAGGCAGAGCAAATTCCACTTCTTAAAAGACTAGTTACTCAGTTCAAAGTAGCTTTTTGGGGACTGAATTATCTGACAAATTGCTTCAAATCCACATCTCACTTTTGGTGGCTAATCCCTCCCTTAAAATGAGTACTGAAGTGCTCTTGGAACAAAGCCAGGCAATGGGGTTAGTGTGTTTCTTCCTTCCTTGACTTCTGCTAAGGGCAAAAGCAAACCAGGATTTAGCACAAACCTGAGGCTGACTTTTTAAGGATTTTTTAAAGATTTTATTTATTTATTTTTAGAGAGAGGGGAAAGGAGGGAGAAAGAGGGGAAGAGAAACATCAATCAGTTGCTTCTCATACATGCCCCAACCAGGGACCAAACCCACAACCCAGGCATGTGCCCTGACCAGGAATACAACCTATGACCTTTCATTTTGCAGGACAACACCCAACCAACTGAGCCATACCAATCAGGACTGACATTTTTTTTTAGTAGAGAGGCTTAGAATCACAGATTCATTTATTGTAGCAGTTGTGAGGCATTGGAAACAATGGGTGCATCTTAAAAACATTGCTTAATAAAAGCACTGTTGAGTGTAAAAAAAACAACGTGCTTAAATGATATCCACAGTCTGGCATTTATGTACATAAGAACCAAAATAATTCAATACATATTCTGTGGACACATGTATATACCCAAGTGTATAACAATATGGAAAAGGGGTACACCCGGGTATTAGGGAACAGATCTGGATTGAAGTGAGGCTGACTTCATTGTCGTGTTACTATGATTTGCTTCCTGTCTTGTTAGGTTCCCTCAACCAGTCTTGCCAATGAGACAGTCAATATACTTAAATCCAAGTACTAAGTCTTTCTCATTTTCCCCAAATTAAATTTTGTGCTCGTTAAGAACAAAAATACCTCTTCAATGTGATTTTGAAATGTTTTTAAGCTTTAAAAATTACTTTTTCCTACATTTAACCCCCATGAACCTTCAAAGATTAGTTTATTTTGCTGTTGAGTACCTTCTTTTTCTTAGTATTTTCCCTATTGACATCCCTTTTAAATTGCTTAGCTTAATAAACACGGTGATCCTTTTACTACATACAGGCAACCCCTTCTTCTTGGAACACTCTTAAAGAGAAGAACTTCTTTCTTTACAGCATCTCTTTGTTTCGATGATGATTTATAGACTAGTAACAGAAACATGCAATAAAATATAGCAAGACAGCTGCAATTTTAAAAAAAGCTGAAGAATATAAGTCAGAACGAAGTTATATTTTGCAAGGGGTGAACCAGCTTATTTCCAGGCGGTGGAAAGTTTTAAACTCTTGGCAGGAGAGTTTCTATGGCCCTTCCAAAAATAGAAAAAGGCAGCTGGGTACCCAGGCTGGAAGAAGACCCACAGGTCTGTAGTGAGACTTATCAGCCACTGAAACACTCCCGGAATCCCGAGACTGGATGCCCCGCACCTGTTAAACAAGAAACGAGAACACGTGAGCATTTGCTTACAAATCCCACTGCATTAGCGGAAGGCCCACAAAATATTACAAGAGGGCAGAAGCAGCTGGGACTGTCTCCCAGAAAACTTGACAGGCTTAAGAGTGATGGAGGAGACATAGCTGGTTTGGGAATTGGGAGTGATTACATATTTTATCAAGCATGGAGTGAAAAATTTGGCAAAGTAAACATATATACTGTTCTAACTTGCTGATAACTATTTTACATGTAAAAGTGACATGATAACTCATACATATGCATTGCACGTAATTCATATATGTATCTTATAACATATATGTAAATGACTCTTGAATAAACTCTAATACCCTCAGCTATTCACACACATTGTCGGCTTTAATGGTCATCGAAACCTCTGCTGTGTCACCCTCTTTCACAGGTGAGGAAGCCGGTGCTTGGGAAGGTGCAGTGACTTGGTCTCGGTCACAAGGGGAGAGAGTGGTGAGCTAGAACAGGAACCTCGTCTCCTGAACCCGATCGCGTGCCTGGGCCACCGCGGCTGGCTGCTCGGGGCCGCCAGAGGCTCTTCAGAACGAACACCGGAGGGTGGGGTTCTGTGCTTTGGCCAAACTCAGACGTTCTGAGTGTCTAAGTGAGAAGTGGTTCTGTTTGCTGAGTCTATGGCTCCTCTCTCTCCCCCGAATCTCTGGTCACCTTTTCACCAGATCACACAGGTGACAAAGGATGTACCAGGAGCAACCAGAGTAGCTTTACTGCTGTGAGTACGGGAAACAGAGTTTATTCTTGCATTATCATTTATGAACTATTGCCTTATTTTGCATTCGAACAGTTGTAAACCTGCTTTTGCCCCCCCCACCCCATGTGCGGACAGACACATCTACGCTCTGCCCTGAATGACCCGACCTCTTGTCAGTCACTGTAATCCTGAGCTCAGGCCAGAGTGAAAGAGAAATGTATCCATTCTTCATTGTGAAATGTAGTCCCAGTTTACATGCAGTTCATGTAAAATGTTGTGCTGTGATTATAGTTTACTTTTAGCAGACGTGTTTGATAATAGTAGTATGTAAAGAAATTCTATTTGTGTTTTCACCAGGAGTAGTGATATTGACTTTGCACCAAAGATTGTGTGTTCATGAAACAGATTATAAAACATTTATAGGAGCTTGGACTAAATTTATAGGGCGAAAGGGAGAGAGTAACATTCTTGACAGGACAGCCACCAT